GGATCTCTTCTTTCAAGGCATCGAGATCCGAGAGAATAGTTGCCACATCATCAAGGTATTGTGTCATAGTTTTGGTACCTTTACGAAGAGTGTGGAGTTTGTCCCGAAGCTGATAAACATGAGCGGTGGACACGGAGTTGTACCGTGCGGCCAAAGCATCCCAGAGGGCAGCAGATGTGGTGAAGCCGCGAGCATGTTTGTGAACGGAGGGGCTGATGACCGCTAGGAGGCAGGCGCGGATCTGTGTGTCAACGATGGTCCAGGAGGTATACTCTGGATTAGGGACGGTTTTATCGTTTTTGGAGATAGTTGGCGCCGGGGCTGCTTCATGACCATCAATCCATCCAAGGAGGAGATTAGCTGAAAGAGCTGTCTGGACATTGAGAGACCATGCCGGATAATTTGTTTCGGTGAGTTTTTCTGGGATTAAGTTGTGGAGACTCCGAAGTAAAAGTTTTACTCCGGAGGGTAAGGAAGCCAAAGGATCCGACGGGGCTGCCATGGTGGGCGGCGGTCGGAAAAAAAAAGAGAGGCTAGGTTTTTGAGAGTCTTAGCTCTGATACCATGATACAATTTGATAATAACTTGTCTTATTGAATATTGAGAGATATGGCCCTATATATAGCGAATACAAGAGTAATCAAAGTACAAGTAGGAAAGGAAAGAATAATCCTAGTAGGAAAGGAAAGAGTAAGTTTTAATTTAATTTAATATTTAATTTTTCATAAGTAGTTAAATTCAATTTTAAATCTAAAAATTTACTTCTTAAGGAATTATTTTGTAAAATTGGTACTAATTCTTTAGCCTTGCGTGAATTTGAAACTTTGGATTCAACTTTATATCCAATTTCAAAAAAGTTGTGACATTTGATTTTAAATCTAAATTTACTTCTTAGAAAATTACTCCGTATTTTGTTAAACATATATTGAAACTAAAGGATTATTGTGCTGGCAAATAGAGTTTCTTGATGTTTAACTTTTTTGGGATTATGCATTAACATATGTGTGATATGTAACATTATACATTGACATATCTGTCACTATACATTGCCAAGTGTGGCACTATACATTATCATACTTGACATTATCTCTTTGTTTAACATTATACATTTGCATGTATGGCTTTGTACAATGACATGATTATCATTATGCGGTTACGTGTGGTGTAAATGTGATCTTGTTTGACACTGTATGAACATTTTACCAAAGCAATTTATTCAGTTTCTATTTATTGCTTAAGAATTTTGACATATATCTATAAGGTATTAATCATGTCTCATAGATTTATTGATTAAGAATTTTGGCATTAAGTGTGATCTTGTTTGACACACACTATGGGCTTCAGGCAACACTTAAAGGCGATTTTTATCAAGTTTCTTTTTTCTTCCTAAGAATGTAAAATGAGACTATTTGAGTTGTGAATCAAGCTACACGTAAAAATATTCAAGAGCAAGGTAGAAATAGCCGTGTTTGTTTGAGGACTGAGTTTTGGGTGTGATTTTGTTGTCGTCCCATGACGATATAGTTAAAAGAATCGTTTATTGACAATATTTTAACTTTGGGTAAAAAATAGTCGGCTTAGTAGGTAGCCGTTATTTTGATAAAAAATAAATATAATGTTTTATTTTATTTTCTGACTCGAAAATATAAACTATTTGTAAAGTCAACCTTTTAATTTAAAAATTAGGTAATTTGGTTGATCTCGTAAAAAGATGACCAACTGTTAGAGTGCATCCCACATCGGAAGTCCAAGAGTAAAATAATCTGGTATATAAGCTCTTGAGCTAAACTAACTAATCGATTGGATTCAATCTTTTAATGTGGTTCAGCCCAAGTGTCTTATTACCCAATCCAGTTGTCCATACTCATCCCAAATTCTATCATGGTATCAGAGCAGGTTTTGGCCCACCTCGTTTGTCAAGGTGTCCGTCTAGACGTTCATTCCTAGCGGCCCGTTTGTCTTTAGCCCAGTTGTCCGTATGAAGTATGTATCCAACGGCCTGTGGCCCGTTTAACACGATTGCTCGTCTGGAAGTCCATACTCAGCGGCTCGTGGTCCTTTAGGTGTTGGCTCTCAAAAAAAATCAAGGGAATGGGAGTTCATTTGCAAGTGGTCAACCGGTTAGATTCAAAATGGCCCGGTTGTCCACTTGAGGGGGAGTGTTAGAGTGCATCCCACATCGGAAGTCCAAGAGTAAAATAATCTGGTATATAAGCTATTGAGTTAAACTAACTAATCAATTGGATTCAATCTTTTAATGTGGTTCAGCCCAAGTGTCTTTTTACCCAATCCAGTTGTCCATACTCATCCCAAATTCTATCACCAACAATATATAGTTTTTTAAATTTAGACGTTGGTGTAAAAAGTTACGAGTGTAATAGATGTTATAGTTCAATAAATAAATAAAAAGATTTTATAATATAATAATAATAATTAATTTCCTAATATATTCCTAATTCCTACCCATAACTCCAAGTCAAGGTCCATCCTTCCCTTAAGTGTAAATACACACGCATGCAAGAAAACCAAAATAAGGAAGAAAAAAAAGGGAGAAGAAAGCCGTAAGAACTATAGAGTACTGCTGATTGAAGACAAAATTTAATTAAAGACTCCTATGTAGAAGAGTTTAAGTTTGAGCTCCTGTTTTGAGAATATGACATAATTTTTACTCTTAGTTTGCTCCTTCTCCGCATAAATAAAAGAGGTATGAGGTGAGAGGAATCTTAGAATAATAATTCAATATTTTCAAAACTCTACAATCTAGAACTTGATGGGAACGGACTAGGCGTGGCTTATTTACTCGAAATATTTGCACTAAATAGCACTAAAACTTAAGTCATTTCTCTAAATAGCACTTAAACTGTTTTATTCCATAAATAGCACTTAATAATGTCCATTATGTCTAGTGGTGGTGAACATTTACTTGAATAACGACTATTGGATAATGACTAAAAGTGCTACATTAAAAAAAACACATGTGATGCTAATTAGGGAAAGTCATTATGTTTTAGTGCTACTTAATAAATTCTCCTATTTACTCTTGTATATGGATAAAATTGTGATTACTACTTCTTCACCCTCCCTCTTGCATCAGATCATTCAGAGACTTTGGGACGAGTTTGTCATGATTCACATGGAGGATCTTAACTTCTTTCATGGCATCAATGTTCAATGCACTCAATACGGTCTCTTCCTTTATAAGACATAGTTCACACATGAGATTATGGAGCGAGCTAGAATGCTTAATTTCAAGGCCTTATATACTCTCATTCACACTAGAGGATAGTTGGCTACCAAATTCGGACCCCTAGTGTGTGATCTTACTCTATAAGAGCATTTCCAACCATGTTTGTTATTTTAATTTGCTATTTTTACATTATAGCAAGTGAATAGTGATATAGCAAGCACTTTTTTGCTTTATTTTCCAACCATAATTTTTCATTTTAATTTTTAAGTATTGGCTAGCTAAATTTTGAGGGACTTGCCATATTTAGCAAACCAAAGTTATTTTTTGGCAAACTTGCTAAAATAAAGCATGCCCTTTGGAGAAGAACAAAAGCGTTCAACTAGTTATATTATAACTTTTAGCTAGTTAAAATGATATGGTTGGAGATGCTCAATACATTATTAGGGCGCTCTATTATTTTGCTTTCATGTGTCCAGACATCACTTCTGATGTGCTCAAACTTTGTCGTCATGATCCTCGTATCGATCACCTGACGAGAATGAGAGAGGCAGGTGCTTCAGTAGCTTCATGGAATAGCCTCGCATGGTATTACTCTTAAGTCTCACTCAGTCGAACACAATTCAATTTCAGGCTTACTTCGATGGGTAGTTTCCTGCAGAAGGAAAAAAATCCGAAATAAATTTCTGAGTGTAGGACTGAATTCCTGAGAGGGAAGACTGGGATTCAATATCCCGAAAAGAGTTTTTTTTTTTTAAAAAAAAATAGGGCCTACAGAAAATAGGATTTGAGATCCCAATTTTTCTGAAAAAGTTATTTACTTTAGCAGGTGGGGTTCCAACTTTAATGAGTGAGAATTGGGTTTTTTAATGCATTGAATAATGGGGTTCCGTATGGGATCCCTCCTTATATAGCAAAATATGGATTGCTTTTTTTCATTTAATTCTTCTTCCTCTACAACTCCCTATATATGATAATATAGCAAAAAAAAATATCTATTAGATTACAAGATTTAAGAATCTAAAAGAGTAAAAGAAGATCTTCTTTTGGAAGGTATGTAATGTTTTACTAATCTCTTTTTTTGTTTCATTAGATATTTAATTACAAAATACTCCCTCCATTCCCATTTCTATTACAATTTTTTTCTTTTAATGTCGATAACTTAAGTTTAATTATGCAATTTCATTAAGTATTTGATAAAATAAAAGATTATTGTCACCTCTTGTCTTTTAAAACTTTTGACATAGTTTTTTAATATGTAATTTTTATTTCTTATTAATATACCAATTTATAAATTAAATGATTTCAAAAAGTGAAAATAAGTGAGAATATGATAAAGTAAAAAAAAGTGACAGAAGTTGTATTTAACAAATAAATTATTTTATATGTATTAGTGTGATGGATGAAGTGCAAAGAGATCTCGCTGGACCAAAAAGTTTAGAAATATTAAATTTACAAGCGGCTCATCGTTCTCTCCGTATTTGGAATGACCCGACATATATTGATGCAAAAGTAGAACCGTGTCGGTATGATGGTCATATCCCTACAAATTTTACAGACCCGAGGGTTATTGGGAATCTACGTAGAGCTGGATTTTATGGGGTACACCGAGTTCATCCCATTAAATTAGATCATGGCCTCATCACTGCATTGATGGAGCATTGGAGGCCTGAGGTACACGCATTTCATTTCCCATTTGGAGAAATGGTATAACTTTACAAGATGTAGAGTGTCTTACAGGTTTGCCAATTGATGGGTTTCCTATTCTGGGTGCGCTACCCATGACTCCCGAAGAACGAGATGTAGCTTTTCGTGCCATTCTAGGTTGGGAGCCAAATGAGGCACACCTAATATCCAAGAATTTCAAGGATATATGGGAGAAATACGGAATGTCAGTGAAGAGGCATATCTCTACTTGAATGATACTTCACGTGAAGTGTGGGCTCTATCTTATGATGGTGGTTTTAGATGTGGGATTTTGACAACCAATAGTTCAGAGAGTTTTAATAATATGCTTAAGGGCTGTCGGATGTTACCGGTCACTGCCATTTTGAGTATGTCTTATAGCAAAATGGTTGAATCTTTTGCAAAACGGCACAAGACTGCACTCAATTGGCAACAAAAAAAATTTCGTTTCACTCCAAAAATTACGAACATCTTACGAAGTCGCGAGCGAACAAAACATAAGTGGGTTGTTGCAGACTATGGCAACAACCAATATGTTACTAGTCATACTTCTCGAACAGATCCATCATCTATCTATAGATACATGGTGGATCTCGAGAATAGAGTTTGCACTTGTGGCCGATGGTCTTCCGATGCAGTCCCATGTGTTCATGTTCATGCACTTTTCCTATCTAAGCGTCAAGTTGCTCACAGTCTCATCCCCCTGGTATATTCCGTTCAAAATTATCTACAGTGTTATAGTGGAGTGATTCAACCAGTTATTTTTCAACCCAATTTAGATATTGGTGACTTTTGTGTCAATCCACCAATAAGGCCGGAGGGAGAGATTCCACGTTCAGGAAGACGTAAGCGTAACCGGTACATTGGTGAGATGGATCGAAGAGCTACTAGAGGAGGATGAATGTATACATCTACCACACTTAATGTAACTTTATTGGTCTTTTTGTTGGATGTATCTTGTTCAATAAAATATTTCTTTCATTATTTTTTTGTTTATGAAAAAACTTCAATTTTTCTTCAGTTTTTTAGATTTTAAATGTTTATATTAATGGACTATTTGTGACACACCTCCCATGCAAAATTAGTAATTATTTGTATTATTTAAAATAATCAGGATTCTAAAATCCGAAAAAGGAAAACCAAAAAAAAAATAAAACATACTCCGTATGTACTTGACTTACAGTTTTTTAATTGCCAATGCAAATTCCATAATTATTTACTTTTGAAAATCGGGATTTGTAAACCCGAAAACTAAAAAAAAGTTGTGAATTGAAAATCGGGATATGAAATCCCGTTCTTCCCAATTGGGAATTTGAAGCTAAAACCCTTCCCTCTGGCGTAATTTCTCCTACTTCGATGCATGTTGATGTTGATATTATTCGCTATGTCGCATCATTTTTTAGAATGCAGATGTTTTCACAAAGTAAGGTTAAGTTTGGCTTTGGCGGTTCGGTTTTCACCCAAAACCAAAGACAAAACGGAAGGTAAGTTCGCGTTTTGGTTCGGTTCGATTTTGCATAAAAAATATGTAAACCGTTGGTTATTGGGTATGGTTTTATGCGATTTTTATTTTGGTTTTTTTTTGTTTTTTCGGTTCATAAATGTAGAAATTTATAAAAATAAAAATTGTAAAAACACTAACTCGATGAAACAATAACAATATGTAGGGTTGGGTTTGGCTTTTCGTTTGATTTTTACACAAAACAAAATTGAACGGAAGGTCATAATATGGTTAAAATGCTTAATTAATAGGTAAGAAAATAACTTTAATCGACTAGTAATTTATTTGCATTTATATATATATATATATATATATATATATATATATATATATATATATGATTTTTCAACATATCACATATACTAATATAAATAAAGTGAAGTATCTAAGAAATTTCATTTTTTCAGTTCGGTTCGATTTTTCAAAGTGAAAACTAAAACAGTACCTAACAATAAAGGTTCGATTCGGGTTTTTACATTTTGTTTCGGTTTTTTTGATTTATTCTTTTCTAGCTTGTTTGGATTAGTTTTGATTCGATTTGCGTTTTTTGGTTTTCATCCCCAACCCAGCCCTGCCACAAAGGGACTCTCATCTCTTCTATTTCTCGATTTTATCATATCTTTACCATTGACACAGTAGGTGCAGTGTTTAATATAGGAAATATGTTTAATACTCCCCCGTCCCAAAAGTCTTTCCTGTTTCATTTTTTGCACATTCCATAAAACACTTCTATCGACATCTAAAATGCCTAAAATTCACAACATTTCTTCTTTATTGTGGGTAGAAGTTATTTTGAAAGTTTTTTGGCATTCAAGGCGGCATAGACGTGTTTTTTGGGATGCGCAAAAAATGAAACAGGAAAGACTTCTTGGGACGGAAGAAGTATGTTATGCCTTTTCTATAGATTTTCATATTATGTTATTACTATATTTTGTATTCTTACCGTAATTTGCTTCTTGAACTCATTTTTCAGTGCTTTTCTTATTATTACTATATTTTGTATTCTTACCGTATTTTGCTTCTTACAGTATTCTTATTATTTAGTTATGTTTAACAAACTATAAATTAAAGTACTAATATTATGAAAGTTTTTAATATATTTAATCAATAAGATTTGCATGACTATATTTTTTTAGTTATGTATAAATTATAAAAACTGTAGAAAATGATACTTTTTTATCCCAAAAAATATTTTTAGTTTATGATATCTGACCAAATTTCCATTCAATATTTTTGAAAATTAGTGGATAATATAAAAATAAAAATTACTCCCTCCGTCCACTTGAGATCTTCCCATTACGCGTTATGAGGCTTGACCGACTTTATTTTTAATTCAATTTAATTGATTATAGGAGTAAAATTTTAAAATAAAATTTATATAGTAATAAACTATATGAAAAGTTCTACAAAACTAGAGGTGACAAGACTATATTATTTTATGAAATGACTGGTAAAAATGAGCAAACAAAGTGAGTAAAGTTTGACTCCATGAATAGTGACTGGGAAGATCTATGGTGGACAGAGGGAGTATATATTAGAAACATAAAAAAATCTACTGCAAAATAAATGATGATTAATTTGATTATTTTATTTTATCAAATGATCAATAAAAATCATATACTTTAGTTTTCTAATACTAAAAATATTTTTTTGGATAGAATAATATATGAATAAAGTAAGATTATTACTGCATACAATATTTTAGAGTTGACCTAAAGATGGATTATTTCAAAAAAGCATCTAGATTAGTATGCTTGGACACTAAGGGGCTGTTTGTTTCAGCCTCTTAATGGTTCAGATGTCTGAATGGTTCAGTACTTAATGGTTCAGACTGTTTGTTTCAGCCTCTTAATGGTTCAGATGTCTGAATGGTTAAGAGATTTGCCTCTGAATGGTTAAGTATTATACAGAGTCTGAATGGTTAAGACCTCTTATCTGAATTGATCAGACATTTGCCTCTGAATAGTTAAGCAATATACTAGCTCTTAATAGTTCAGACCTCTTACTGGTTCAGCACTTAATGGTCCAGACCTCTTACTGGTTCAGCACTTACCGATTCAGAAGTTGCCAAACAGTCACTAAATTGTTTCTGGAAAATCAACGAGAGATTGGATTGTTTTACCCTTTATTTTTCACGGAGAAAAAAATCTTTATATATAAAATTTGAGAGTTGGATTTCTAGGATTGTGACATATGGAACGCTTATAAGACAACTTTTTTGACATGTCAGCAAATAATATTTAAAGAATTAGTTAACAAAATCAATTATTTTATGAAAATTGAATATCGTATTTGTTAAACACGGATTTCTCAGCATAATCGCGTTTAAAAACTTTTATATTTTACTTCATTATTTGAAAATATTAAAATTTAATAATATATTTTGATACATAGTAATTAAACAAGGAACTCATATTAAAAAAATCAAAACAAACAAATTTATTCCAAGAAGGAATATATTACTAGGACTAAAGTAAATCTTTATATGTAAAATTTGAAAATGGACTTCTAGGATTGTGACATATGAAACGCTTATTAGACAACTTTTTTGACATGTCAGCATGTCATGTCAGCAGGTAATATTTAAAGAATTAGTTAACAAAAACACTTATTTTATGGAAATTGAATTTCGTATTTGTTAAACACAGATTTCTCAGCATAATCATGTTTAAAAAATTTTATATTTTATTTCATTATTGGAAAATATTAAAATTTAATAATATATTTTGATAAGGAGTATTTAAAAAGGGAACTCATATTTAAAAAAATCAAAACAAACAAATTTATTCCAAGAAAGGATAGATTAGTAGGACTAAAGTAAATCTTTATATATAAAATTTGAAAGACGGGCTTCTAAGATTGTGACATGTGGAATGCCTATTAGACAACTTTTTTGACATGTCAGCAAGTAATATTTAAAGAATTAGTTAACAAAAACACTTATTTTATGGAAATTAAATTTCGTATTTGTTAAACACAGATTTCTCAGCATAATCACGTTTAAAAACTTTTATATTTTACATCATTATTGGAAAATATTGAAATTTAATAATATATTTTGATACGTAGTATTTAAACAAGGAACTCATATTAAAAAAATCAAAACAAACAAATTTATTTCAAGAAGGGATAGATTAGTAGGACTAAAGTAAATCTTTATATATAAAATTTGAGAGTTGGGCTTCTAGGATTGTGACATGTGGAACGCTTATTAGACAATTTTTTTGACATGTTAGCATGCAATGTCAGCAAGTAATATTTAAAGAAGTAGTTAACAAAAACACTTATTTTATGGAAATTGAATTTCGTATTTGTTAAACACAGATTTCTCAGCATAATCGCGTTTAAAATTTTTTATATTTTACATCATTATTGGAAAATATTAAAATCTTTATCTTTATATATAAAAAAGGAGAGTTAGAGTTCTATAATTATGACATGTGGCATGCTGAGTGGACACTTTTTTAACACTTCAATAGACATGTCATCGATCAAGAGTATTGACTCCAAGTTTCCTTTAACTAATTTATGATATAATAACATAAATTATGTAACATAATAAAATTAGTGAAACATAAATATGGTATTGTAGAAAATAAAATGATGAATGGAAAAAAGAAAAGTTTCTTCTTCAAGTAACAAAATTCTCAGTAAAATTTTTACTACATTATTTTGCTCAGATTCCAATTAAGCTTAAAAATAAGTCAATTGAATAAAAAGGAAATTAAGTCATTTTTACAGAAAAATAAAAATAAATTAAAACAAACTAAAACAAAATGAGGACTTTTAACATTTAGTAATAACATTTTGATCTAATTATTATTATAACTTCATTTAATATAAAATAAATATAATATTCTTTCAAAAATTATATTGACTACTGGACTTAAAACTAATAAAAGTTTCTATTCATTTACAACGTAACTTATAAAGATAGATAAAATAGTCACTTTACCTCTATATCAATTTCACATACATTTAATATAATATTTAAAAACTAGATCAAAAATATGTATTGTTGAGTTTGACAATAATTTTTAAAAAGAAGAAGAAGTTGAACACAAATAGATGATTAGTTGATTTACAATATATTTTTTCAGTATAAATTTTAACTTAGTGCAGATTTAAAAAAGTAAAACTTTAATAATGATAAGTTTATGTTTAAAATTAAATTTTATTATTTAATTATATTCCTTAGATAATTATTTATGGTTTAAAATTAAATTTTATTTTTTTAAATTATTTATTATGATATGATATTTTTAATTGAAAAATAGAAAATAGTTGAACCAAAAGTGTGTCACCACGACACATTATGTTTACACTAACATTTTTTACGATTTTAACATTATTGAGTTAATTTAATTATAGAATAAAGATCATCGCTTGTATTAGAATATATTTTATAATTTATATTTTTTTCACTTCATTTATAATAAAATTTTTAGTGAATAAATAAAATTTCCTTCCTTAATAAAATATATTTTCTTAACCTCTAAAAAATTGATATTTTTTTATGACATGTTTAAATGAAGATAGTTTTTATTTTATTTTTTTAAATAATGATGTACAATAAAAAACAAAAAAAAATATATATTTATGTCTGTATTAAAATACTACAAATGACAAGACTATTTTTTAGACAATCAAATATTTAATTTAAATGTATTTATAAAGAAGTATCAAATGTTTTTGTTAATATTTACTTAGAATCATAGGATTACCAATACTTTTTTATATTGATTTTTTGAACTAATGCAAAGGGAGTATAATAATTGGATTTTCAATGATTTTTTAAATTGATTTTTTTGAATAATAGAATTTTAATGAAAGAGTTTGTTTTTTGAATAATGCAAGAAGAGAATAATCATACCGAGTATTTTTAATCAATGTGAATGAGAAGAATCATCTTAATGCGGCTGAGTACATATTTTACTAATCAAAATTAATATAGTGGTGTAGGATAAAAGAATTGTAATTTTTGAATTATATGATCAACAATCCAGTTTTTAATTAATGCAAATGAGAATAAATATAGGATCACTGATTTTGTTTAATACAAAGGAGGAAAAAAATCAAAATTTCTAAAAATCAATACAAGGGAGAAGAATTATACTAATGCGGATAGATGAATCATTTTTTTCTAATCTAAACTAATTCAGAAGTAGAAGGAATCATTTTTTTGCTCATCAAAGGCAGTTGTATAAAAATTGAATTTATGAATGAGAATACATATTTAGGAATCTTAAGCCACAAAGTAGTTTTAATTTGAAGAAAGATCTACTCATTATGTTATTTGGAAACACTAATTAACCATTTGAATTATGTAATAGTATAAGGTTAATCGTTGACAAATTGTAAAAAGTTTTCACCAGCGCAATTATAATATTAGGAAACAAAGTCGTTAAGGTCACACAACCTAAGTTAATTATGTTCGTTTCATATAGGATTACCCTTTACACTTCAAAAATTACAATTTTCAAAAGTTTATGGTTCATTATGATTATAATTAAAAGTTAATGCTAAACATTGTCATTTATAGGATTGTATTTTATCAAGTCAGTATTTACGAATGGTTAATTTAATATTGATGTTATACAAATTGATGTTTCACAAGTGAAAGCAAAAGTAGAGTTAAAAGTATTAATGTTAGATGCCTTTATTAGTCTTTATAACATTATACAAAAATATTGTATACCTCAAATTTTTTTCAAATTATTCGGATTTAGCTAAGAGTTTGATATGTTAATTTTCAAATGTATATAGTAAAATTATCATTAGCAAATGTGATATGCTTTATCATTAATTATTTTAACTTTTAAGGTCAATGTTTTATTTTGTTCAATTTCTAAAAAATGTTGTAGTAAAGAAAAATTACAAATTCCAAACAAAAAAATCATTTAGTTCCGTGCGTCACACGGGTTAAAATGTTAGTATTTCTATATGCTTAAGAGACAAAATAAGAGAAACTATATTTTTGAAGGTGCAATATAACATTTGAGAATTGCGAGGGTGCATATTAACTTTTTGACATCTTTTGATGGTGCAATATGATTTTTAACCCCAAAAATATTATGAAATGTCAACACACAAGCCATGTAATGAGCTAGATATATTGTCAAAATTCTTATTTGTTTCATCCCTTCTCAAAAAACACTTCTCTTTCATTTTTTTCACTTCTAACAAAACACTTCTACTTTTTATTAAAAAATTACTTTTACCCTTACTTTTTCATACACTGACTATACTTTTTCTCTAATAATCTATCAATTACACCTTACTTTTACTCATCACATCAAAAGCAAAATTGGAAGTCAACTACAATTTAACACTTCTTTCTTTTTACACTTGGTCAAATTAGGAACCCTTTTTTGAAAACGGAGTAAGTTTTAAGGTTGGTCAAAGTATTGTGTAAGATATTTTGTTTTATTTTACGGTCCGATTCTAGTGACACTAGAGAACAGTGCCACTCCGGTGCCACTGGGTTTTTGGGCACCTCCGGTTCTCCGTTCGCAAAATTGACGGTTCCTACCCCCCTAACCCACCCCTAAACCCCTCACCCTACTCCCACCCCTGCACCCCCACCCCAACCCCGCCGTAAGCCTCCTACAAAATGTGTGGCTATTATGCAATGCATAAAACCCAGTGTCACCGCTAGTGGCACCGTTTTCCAGTGTCACTAGAACCCACCGTTTATTTTAATATAAAGATAAGTATTACTCAAGTTGGTTGCTTCTTGAAAATGGTCTATATATACTTTTGAGTAAGGATAAGGTTGGCGCACATACATCTTTCTTTGATCTTACATTCTCACTCCTGTGGGATTCAACTGAATTATTATCTTTATTATAAAGATATGTATCTATTTATAAATTTATACATTTATTTTTTATGAAAAAGTTTATGTTCACAAAGGTGCATGGTATAGTTTTGTGAAATGCACACCTCTCATTTCAATCCTAAAGTTCATTATATCACAAAAAGTATCTTACGTTTAAGTATTTATCATCTTATTTTTTATCTTAATTATAGCATAAGTTTTTATTTTTCAACATTTTTTTAAAAATAAAATCTACTTCCTCCGTCCCTAAATATTTGCCACACTTGTATTCCCGAGGTAAAATATCAAGTTTGTTAAATTCATTTTATTTACATATTGGTATAGAAATAAAAAATAA